TTCATTACAGTGCTGTGAAAAACTATTTGCCCCTTCCTGATATTTATTTAATATATATTTTACACATTTAATTAAAATCAAACAAATTTTAATATTACACAAATATAACCTGAGTAAATACAAAATGCTGGTTGTGCCACCCTTGGCAGCAACAACTGCAATCAAGCATTTGCAATTTCTGTGGAAAAAGTTTGGCCCACTCTTCTTTGCAGAATTGTTTTAATTCAGTCACATTGGAGGGTTTTTGAGCATGAATGACCGGTTTAAGGTCATGCCACAGCATCTCAATCAAATTTAAGTCCAGACTTTGACTAGGCCATTCCAAAACTTTAATTTAATTTTTTTTTTTTTTAGACATTCAGAGGTGGACTTGCTGGTGTGTTTCAGATCATTGTCTACTGCATAAACCAAGTGAAGTCATGAACTGATAGACATTCTCGTTCCGGATTTTCTGGTAAAGAGCAGAATTCACGGTTCCATCAATTATGGCAAGTTGTCCTGGTCCTGAAGCTGCAAAGCAGCCCCAGACCATCACAATACCACCACGTTTGACTGTTGGTATGTTCTTTTTATGAAATGCTGTTAGTTTTACACCAGATTTAACAGGACGCACACCTTCCAAAACTAAAACTTTTGTCTCATCAGTTCAGAGAATGTTTGCCCAAAAGTCTTGGGGGTAATCAAGAAGTTTTTTGGCAAATGTGAGACAAGCCTTTTTCTGTTCTGTTTGGTCAGCAGTGGCTTTTGCCTTGGAACTCTCCAATGGATGCAGTTTTTGCGCAGTCTCTGTCTTATTGTTGAATCATGAACACTGACCCTGAGTAAAGCCTGCAGTTCTTTAGATGTTGTTCTGGGTTCTTTTATGACCTCCACGAGGAGTCATTGTTGTGCTCTTGGAGTAATTTTGGTAGGCCGGTCATTCCTGGAAAGGTTCACCACTGTTTCACGTTTTCTCAATTTGTGGATAATGGCTCTTGCTGTGGTTCATGGAGTCCTAAAGAGCCTTAGAAATGGCTTTGTAACCCTTTCCAGACTGATATATTGCTTTGTTCCTCATGTTCTTGAATTTCTTTAGATGGCAGCATGATGTGTTGCTTTTTGAGATTTTTTATCATGCTTCACTTTGTCAGCTTCTATTTAAGTGATTTCTTGATTCAACAGGCCTAGCAGTAATCAGGCCTGCATGTGACAAGTAAAATTTAACTTGGCTTTCCCAAAAAAAAAAAAAAAAAAAAAAAATGTGGTTAATCAGAGTTACTAACTTTTTTACATTGGACCAGGCAGGTTTGGCCAGCTTTTTTCCCCCTTAATAAATTAAATCATTTCAAAATATGTATTTTTTATTTACTCAGGTTATCTTTGTGTAATATTAAATGTGTTTGATTATCTGAATCAAGTGTGACAAATATGCAAAACAAAAATCTAAAAGGGGCAAATACTTTCACTTTTGTGTATATTTTCACCTGGGCTTTAAAAAAAAAATGTAGAAAACAATAAGCTAAAATACGTTGGATTTTGCGTGAAAGAATCAGTGAAAAACTATTGAAAATTAAACCAATAAAAAAATCGTATTAATTAGACCAATTTTCACCAGCTGTTATCCTTAGCATGAATCAGTATATCGCTAAAATGAGATTTCATGATATATAAAATTTTTCTTTATGGGGCAGGAAATGTCGGCTTATGTCTCCATATTCAATTACATTGAAATGTGCCTTGGAAAGGCTAAAGAATGACAATGAAAACACTTTTAAGTATTAGTTATTTATAGTAGCTGTAAATGAAAGTTATGGCTTATTTTGATAAAATCCAATGACTCTAGGTTTATTGGGTCTGTAAACTGGAGAAGTGACCAAGGTTGAAAAATAGATACTTGTCTGCTCATGCTCAAGCGTCCTTTCAAAGAAAGTGCATTTACTGCTGTAGGTAGCCATACATATAAAATAAGTAGTCTGCATAGGTCAAGATCATCAACGACCCATCTCTGATGCCTCAGAATAGTTACACCACCAGCATGGTCATCCCCAGTATTCAAGACTACCGAGTAGTTTCTTAGGATAAAAGAGAATTCTTAGTCTGAGACCGCCACTTATAACTACTCTTACCTACCCACCAATTCTGCAAAGGCACTTCTACGCCTCAACTTTAAGCATTTTGAACCTTTATGCATATTTTGAAATGTTGAAATATTGTAAGTTGAATTCAACTTTGTTGAAAGGAGTTTAAAGGGAATATTAGCGAGCACCTTCTGCCACCATCATACACACAAAAAATATTCTTAAACTGTCATAACTAACTTTGCTGAGTTAGCAATCAAAAGACTGAGTTTTATAGCCCCTTTGCACTTAACCATTAGCTGCCCGGCCTGTAGCCGTTTGGTGGCCGCAAAAATGCATTAGCTTTCCAGGGTGTACACCAATTGGCGTCCTCCCGCACATGCGCAGTTCACGCGGTTGCAGAGCCGCGATCTATCACCGGCCGTGTACCTCGGACAGGCCGATGACAGATCTGGCCGATGACAGATGTGACTGGCTGTGACCGGTATACAATGACAGTTGTATACAATGGATGGCTTCATTCATGCCATCCATTGTATACTAGTGTCTAGCTGTGAATGGTCACAGTAGGTCACATGCACGTCATGTGATTAGCTGTGGCCAAATCATAGCTAAGCACAAAAAAAAAAAAACAAAAAACCCTTTATGAATCGATGTCATTCAGGTAAATGCTTGCTTATAGCAAAGTAATTCTTTGCTATAAGCAAATTGTGTAAAAAAAAAAAAAAAAAAAAAAAATACTGATCACTTCCCCAAAAGTAGTACAATGTTACTATGACAACATTGTACTACTTTGGTCAAAGTAAAATATGAAAAAAAAAACTTAAAAAAAAAAGAAAAAATGTAATACAAAATAAAAAAAAAAAAAAATATATATATATATATATATATATATATATATTTATTTTTTTTTTTTTTTTTTTTTCCCCATACTGTCACCAGTCAGTGTCCCTGTTCACCGCCATGCCAGTTATATGATGACACTGTACTGCACTGGTGACAGTATGTAAAAAAAAAAAAAAATAGTGAAAATAATTTAAATTTTTTTCATTTTCCAAAAAATTATGACAAAAAAAATACAACTTAAAAAAACTCGCCATGCCTCTTATGAAGTACGTAGGACTGTCTACTTTACAAAAAGGGGTCATTTGGGGGATATCTGTACTGTTCTGACATTCTTGGACCTCAAGAAATTAGATTGGCTGTCAGTACTTCAGGATTGATCAATTTTCAGATCTATACCTTAGTTTGTGAACTCTATAACTTTCCTACAAACTAAATAATACATCCTAATTTGGGTTATTTTCAACAAAGACATGTAGCAGAATACATCCTGGCCTAAATTTATGAAGAACAATTATTTATTTGTAAACTTTTATAACAGAAAACGAAGAAAAACATGGTTTTTTTTTTTCAAAATTTTTGGTCTTTTTTTAATTTAGCAAAAAATAAAAACCCCGGCGGTGATTAAATACCACCAAAATAAAGCTCTAGTTGTGTGAAGAAAATGATAAAATTTTAGTTTGGGTACAATGTTGTATGACCGCGCAATTGTCATTCAAAGTGTGAGAGCGCTGAAACCTGAAAAATGGTCTGGGCAGGAAGGTGTAAAATTGCCCGGTATTGAATTGGTTAAAACACATTATTGGGTGTTTTTTGCAAAGTCAATTAGTGTCATAAGGCCAAAAAAAAAAAATGTACCTGCCTCAATTTTTGAGTAGACACCATGAGTGTTCAATACATGCTTTATGGTACACTGGCAGGTGCACTTGTTCTGACAGTGTATGCATGTTAGGTGCCATTGAAAATAAATGGCAATGCACTGCAGCACACAAATATGCTGCTGTTCTGAGTGTTAACACGTATTATAATGTTTATTAACACAGGGCACAACTAGCACACAATAGATTTAGATTGGCCATACATTAGGGAATTTTCTTTCCTTCAAACACGGATTGAAGGTAAGAAAATTGCTTGATTCCCCCATCAACATTCGGCATTAATGGGGAATCTCTCCCACTCTGCTATTTTATTCTGATAGCAGGCGGTTTCACCACCATCAGAATACAACGATCAGTGCCGCCGGCTATAGTCAAGGGCAGTAATCGTACTAAAATAATCTGACAAGCTGGTTGTACTGAAGTCGATAGATCAACCAGCCTGCATACAGATGGATCGAAAATTGTCTGGGTCCTGGTTAACCGGCTGAATTTCAACCCATCTATGGTCAGTTTAAGTGGTGCTTAGAGTAGAGATTTCAAGAGTTCATTTATAAACATGAAAAAAATAGGGAGGTGGAGTTCAAAAGGGATAAAACAAACTAGCAAAAATTATTTTCATATAGTAGCTGTAAATGAAAATAATGGCTTATTTCGGCCAAAACCGGTGACCCTATGCATTAATCACAGTAATACATTTAGACCTTCACTTGTACTTTAAATAGCTGAAACCACAGTTATGATTGTGCAATGGGTACTGCTCACTATTGATTTGAACTGGATTATTGATTTATACAACTCCACAATCTCCGGGGTCACTATAAGCAAATGGGTCTCCTTAGTTGCTTATCTTGTATTTAGTAGAATAGGACCACTTATTACTAATTTAATTACTTAAAATACCTGTTGCCATATTTTATTCAACATATTGTGCAATTGTACAATACATGTTATAATTCATTAGCAATAGTTTATCCATTGTAAAAATCTCAATATAAAAATACAAAAAATATTTATATCAATATTTACACTTTTTAAATTACGCTTTCCATTTTTATAAAAAATGCATATTTAGGCAAATATGTTTTTCAGATATCTTCTGAAATTTCATTCTAGAGCTTTGGCATTCAAGCATGTTATGAGTGTCCTTTTTCTCCTTTGGATAAAGTAGCTGAGGTAGCATGTTAATGTCTTTGGCTTAAAGAACGCAAGTACTGCAAATCTGCTATGTGTCCATGTCATAGCTGTAAAATATAGAAGTCCTGTGATCTTCCAGTAGGTTTGGTTTATGTAAAATATTTCCTGATTCATCACATAAAATTGTCTTTGTTGACTCTTCTTGATCACACTCTAATGCTATATCCAATGAAGAGTGAGAAATACTGAGGGAAGGGACATAATCCACTGTGTGTAGAAAGGAGTCTTGGGGAGGCTTCCATATAGACTTTCCAAATGTGCCTGTAAATAAAGAAAAGCAATTACTGTTAAATCACAGATCTCTAGGAAAGTGTAACATATTAGCTAAAATTACATTACACTTTTCATTTAAAGGTTTAATTTTCCATTAATTTCACTGCCATAACTAAGGCCACTGAAGACTAGGCGTGATAAGCAGAAGCTGTCCACATCAGTTTCTAGACTGCCAGCTGTAAATGTCCAGCATACATACAGTTGTAAAATATTTTGCAGATATATATATATATATATATATATATATATATATATATATATATATATATATATATATATATATATATATGTCAATTCAACCTGCAATGATAAGTTAGAATTTTAAGATACTGGCTCAGAATATTGACTCCACTAATGTGTCAGAATTGGGACCTATTTCATAACTCCAGGGCTCACTTGCACCAAGTAAAGTAAATATGTGACATAAACAAGACACTGTCAATTTTTGACATAGTGATAACAATCCTAGGAATTTTTGGTTTTTGAAATAAAATTTTTTGTAAAAACAGCTAAAATCAGCCCAGTAGGACCAAGTACAATTTCTTACACAAAAAAAAATAAAAAAAAATTGTATGACAGACATTATATATATATATATATATATATATATATATATATTTACTACACATACACACACGGAAAATTGGTCCTGACTACAAAGTGTTAGAGCAATTTTGAAAAAGGAAATATGAGAACACAGGATGTAGAAGTCAAACACAGATTGAAGCCACATGCAAGCAGAATTCTGAAAAAAAAAAAAAATTTCCATGTGCTGTTGCCATTTTCAGTAACTGGGAAAGTGGTATGCCAACAAAGCTAATTATCTATAAAACACACCCAAATGGTATGCACACAACTGTTGCTTTAAAGACCTAAAAACAGATATCATATTTTATACAGAACTAGAAAAAGCAATTATGTATAAAAAAAATTGAGATCAAAAATGTTAAATAACAGTATAATATTTGTCAGTGACCAACAGATGCATACTTTGCATATATAAAATGTACTGCTATTGTTCACTTATAAAGTGATTATAGGGCCATTATCTCATCATCTAAACATTTTACTCTTTTATAAACATAAAAAAGGAGATATTTTCTTTTAATCATATGCATATTATACATTATTCTTTATGACAGAAAAGTCACTGTAAAAGGTAGTCTATAGGCAAACCAACTGCCATGTGTCCCTAATAAAACTATATTGCATCTAACAAACAAAAAAACATAACTAGCAAATAATAACAGCACACCCACCCATATAGGAATTCTTTTCAGGACTGTTCTTCTGCACATAAAGATCAGTATCAGATTCTATCCTTGCTCTGCTCTCTTCAGACTGGTTGCAGACAGAGCCAGGAAAGGAGTGAACCAGAGAATATGCTCCATGAATATCGGTTCTTCTGATGAAATTATCATCATCAATATCATCCCGCTGTGCATATAACCTGAAGTCCTTTAAGTAATCCTGTTCATATGCATTTAAGTTAGCCAGTTTCTGATCTGGAATGTATCCTTTTAGGAAAAAAAAAAGAAAGCCAATATTAAATTAGGCCCAGCTGTGTGTAAAACATACCACTACTTGATGTAGTAAACTAACCTGAGTGATAAGCCTCACATGCCTCCTGGTTGTAGGCATTCCCCTTCAGGTACAATGAACTCTGGGGCCCCATGTAGTGAAACAACAGTGGATCAGCCACAGCCTCTAAATCTGGTTCACTTCCATTATCCAAGTGGCAAACACCTGCAATATAAATGTCAGCAATTCATAGATATGTATATTTCGCGAAAGAATGCAAGGTATGATTAGCAATGAACAATCATGAAAGCCTTTAATAATGGGTTTTAATATAAAAGGGCCGTCTGTGCTGCTTGGCAATTAAATCTGAATGTCTGAAGCTTGATGTCTGCTACAGAGCAATACAGATCCCTCTTATTTCACACACTGATAATCACGGTCCACATCGTTAAGTGACAGAAAGCATGACCAACACAATTAAGATTTTATAACCCTAATGCTACCAGCAGATTTGGCCATGCCAAATGGATGACAGTTTATTAATGACCTGTGCCAGTGGCTAACCTTTGATTCCAACAAATCAGGTGAGAGGTGGTCTAAAAATGACCCGCTCTGCAGAGATTCTGCAAATGCATATGCACTTTTAGTACAGAAGCATAAAGAAAATGGTCTTCCTATTTCAGAAGAATTAGTTAACTTTGTGGTCGTAGGAAACAGACTGTATAAGTGGCCCAATTAAAACCCGGTCAGAATCCCTGCCGGAATATATATTATAGTGCCTAAACATAATATAACGACCATGGAGATTGACAACGCTTTGACAGTCAGAAGCTGTCGACCATCACAGAGTATTCTCAGTGAAAAGCAGCTTTAAATTGTTTAAAATAATTAACAAAATAAAAGAAACAGGATGAAAACTTTGGCATATATCCTACCATTGGCATCCCTTTGCTGCAGGAAATATCCACTCATGGAGGAAGAAATAAAATGATGGCTTCCATTTTCGGAAGGGATGTAACCATCCTGTCTTTCTGCTAGTGTCCCCTGTGAGGACAGGTAGCTGGGTGTGTCTACAGGTAGGTTGGTTTCATCTGTGAAATATAGAATAAAAAATTATGATTGTCATACTAAAACTTGAAATCAAACCACAGCATGTATTAAAACTCAACATAATTAGAAGCTGTCAATCACTGTCAAACCACTAATCAAGGTTACGAAGTACACACACACACAATTCTGAATAGCAGCACACTTCAAAGATTTATAATAAAGCCATTTGCTACCATGATGCAGTTTTGAAATCAGTAGTTGCTGCAGATAGATTCACTTTTTGCATGTGCCTGACAGAGATGTGGAAACAGCTCGTTATCCACACAATAGTTATGCTATTGTGCTTAGATGTAAACTGCTTTGCACAGTTCAACTGATCAAACATATGAAAACAAATCAAACAATATGTACTGAGAAAGGTATGTGGCCAGTCACCTAGTTACCTGGCTGTCAAAACGAATTGATCAAATTCAATACCTAAGTCACTGACCTGTATTCAGATCAAGATGGGCAGACTAATTGTTAAAATGCCTGAAACAGGTTGATGGCTCATGCCAAAATAGTTTAGCATAATAGCCAGGAATCTAGTATTTGTTTTGATCAGTACTGCGTGCCTACATATATGTCTCTCAATGCAGCTTCCAATTAAAATGTATTCATACAAAAGATGTGATTAAATGTTTTACTGACAGCTTTAAATAAGATACACTAAAACTTGAAGCAGATTTAAACCCATCCATTTAACTTTTTACTAGAACAGTTACTTTCAAGGCATGCTGTGAATAATGTCACAGTTGCTAGTGCTCCCAACTTAACTGTCAAGCCATCAAATGGCTGGTGTCAGAAACTGATAACATGTGCAGCACCATGGCAACAGAGGCCAAGATGGCAGCTTCTTTGGCTGTGAGAGATTGGAGGCTTTGGTTCTGCTTTATTCCATAGATACATATGGTTTTCTTTTTTTATTTACTACACTGAAGTTGGAAACATTTTGTCTGTGGTATAGGTTTTTTTCATCACACTTTAAATAATGAACTTAAATTAACCCCAAGTTCAATGCAACAGTCTCCAGAAATTTGCAGGAGGTGCCTATACTGCATTATGGGATGTTAAAAAGGGGCATGCTAAAAATCAAGGAAAAACTTTTCTTTTTTTTTTATTATATATACAAAAGCATTCAGGCTCCCAAGCAGCATTGGAGCTCCATTTACCTAAAGTAAAAGGCAAGCAAAAAGGTACACACTAGTGTCTGCTGTAAACAGTTTAGATTTCCAAAAGGACCGGGTTACTTTAGGAAAGCTATAATCAGCTCCAGATTAAGTGAAAGTGTCATCAGATCTGAAGGCAAGTACAAGGATTTTGTTATTTCTGCTATATATAAAACATGACAATGCTTGCTAGTTGGTTTCACTTTAAATTACCTTCTCGTTACTAGAGTTAAAACGGTCTTACGAAATGTGTGCGCTTCTGCATTTGTGCCTTGCGGTCCAAAGTCAAATTGTCAGGAGCATAGACAAGCTCTTCATAAACCATACTGGTGGCTTGCCAGATGAAGCTTACATTGTAACATATGTTTTGCAAATTTGTTTGGCACAGTTACATGCCAATCTGATTAACCAAAATTGAAAAGTAATGGTTTTTCTTTCCTGCCTTGCTCTGCTATTGTACCCACCTGTGTTAGTGACACTGCAATCCTCATTCCTTCTCCTTGTGTGGTATATATGATGACCACCCAGACAAGGGAGGTTCCCACCACACAGCAAACCACTGCTATTATCACAACACCAACTGTGGCCCATCCATCATCTTCCAATGACGGGGTGGCATTTGCAGGGGAATCGCATGTTGGGTTGGGAATGACTGAAAGATGAATATTGCCTCTCTCTGTTCCAAGGATATTGGACATCTCACAAGTATACTTCCCAGCATCTGCAAAATCTGTATCCACTAAAATTAGAAGTTGGTTTCCAGCAGCAAAGAAATGTCTCTCTGTTACAACCAATGGGCTATCATCCTTGGTCCAGTTTACTTTTGGAGTAGGATTTCCACCTGCAATGCACTGCAGAACTGTGGTTTCTCCTTTCGATACAGTACGATCCACAAGTGGACGCAGAAATGATGGTGTTTCTGTATTGACAAAAGGATAAATGCATTAAAATACATGACACCTGCATGTGCAGACAAGTTTTAATTGCATTTTTTTTTTTTATCATTTAATGCGCTTTTCATGGTTTTATTTGGAGCTATAGCTTTAGAAGAAAAAAAAAAAAAAAAAAAAAAAAAAAAAAGACCTTTATCTTATTTACTACAGGCAATATTAAATTATGGATACATATACAGTGGAACCTCAACCTACGAGCGAACTAACGTGCGAGTTTTCCGAGATACGAGCAGTCGCTCGGACGATTTTTTGCTTCAGCACGCGAGCAGAATTTTAAGATACGAGTTCAAGGCGCACGCAGCTCTAAGTGTATATTTTTCGAGGCGCGCGCAGCTCAGAGGGTATGAGTCACAGCATCCCATCTCCGAGCCTTTCTCTCTCTCTCGCTGTCTACACGTGGTAGAGTAAACACTGAGATTCGTTGCACGCACAGTTTTTTTTGCATTTTTGTGATATTCTGTGAAATTTAAGTTTAGTTACAACGTAGCGTACATTTACGTACGAATGTAGTGATAGCAAAACAGTCATCCGTCCACCTCCGCCTGTCTCCTCTACCCGCCACCTCCGCCGTCTCCGTTAGCTCAAGTCGTCTCATCTCCAAGGTAAGTAAATTGTATACAACCTTATTATATCTTCATATTTTCTTTCTATTTTGTTTTTATATAATATTTGTTATGTAAAAAGCTTTTTTCCTTATGAAATAACAAGAAAAATGAAAAATATGAGGTGCCATTTTGAGGGTTGGAACGGATTACGGCCGTTTCCATTATTTCTTATGGGGAAAATTGATTTAACGAGCGAGCATATTAAGTTACGAGCTCGACCACGGAACGAATTAAACTCGTAAGTTGAGGTTCCACTGTACTGTCCAAGCAGATACTGATCTTAGGAATGTGCTTAAAACACATATCTCAACCCGGCACTACCTGCCTGGAGTTTGCATTTTCTCCCTGCGCAGGTTTCCTCCCACACTCCAAAGACATGCTGGAAGTAACTGGCCCCTGTCTCTAAAAAAAGTCTATACACCTCTGCTAAAATGTCAGGTTTCTATGATGTAAAAAAATGAGACAACGATAAATCATATCAGAACTTTTTCCATCTTTAAATGTGACCTGTAAACTGTACAACTCAATTGAACAACAAACTGAAATCTTTTAAACATGACACTGAAAGACACTAATCCCATGAGGGTGTGCTGGAAATTTTAGTTTTTATATCCTGTGTGTGTGTATATATACAGTTGCAAGAAAAATATGTGAACCCTTGGGATTATGTGGAGTTTTGCATGAATTTGGGCATAAAAATGTGCTCTGAACGTCATCTAAGTCACAACAATAGAAGAACACAGTCTGCTGAACATAATACTCACAAACATTATGTTGCCATGGTTTAATTGCACAAACATGTAAACAACGTGCAGGGAGGAAAAAGTATGTGAGGCCCTAGCTTAACTGACTTTCCCATCTTGAAATCAGTGTGATGATATTGGATGTGTTGCTGACAGCTGTCCTGCCCTTAAAAAACACACACCTGTTTTGGGTTTACAAGAATGTGAACCATGCTCGCAGAGAAGAAGAAGACCTACGATCAAGAATTAATGAAGCTGGAAAGGGTTACAAATGTATCTCCAAAAGCCTTGATGTTCATGTGAACGTAAGACCACTGTCTACAAATGGAGAAATTTTAGCACTGTTTGCTACTCTCCCTAGGCGTGGTCGTCCTGTAAAAATGACTGCAAGAGCACAGCGCAGAAGGCTGCATGAGGTAAAAAAGAATCCCAGTGTCAGCTAAAGACCTACAGAAATCTCTGGCACATGCTTAACATGTTGACACATCTACATAAGGAAAACATTAAATAAGAATGGAGTACATGGGAGGACACACGGAGGAAGCCATTGCTGTCAAAAAGAATATTGCAGCACGTTTGAAGTTTGCAAAAAAGCACTGTGGATGTTCCACATCACTACTGTGTGGACAGATAATTGATAAGAACACACAACACTATATGTATAAAAGGCACACACGCCACCATCAAAACCTCATCCCCACTAAAATGGCGGAGGGAGCATCATGATTTGGGGCTGCTTTGCTGCTTCAGGGCCTGGAATTGTTGTCATGATGGGAAAATAATTCCACAGTTTATCAAGATATTTTGCAGGAAAACGTGCGACCATCTGTCCGCCAACTGAATACATGCAACAGGACAATGACCCAAAGCATACAAGTAATTCAACACAACAATGGCTGCAACAGCACAGAATACGCCTTCTGGAGTGTGCCCAGTCAGAGTCCTGACAACCCGATTTTAAATGCTGTGGCATGACCTTACATTCACACCAGACATCCCAAATATTGCTAAAAAACAGTTTTGAATGTGACTCCAGACGTTGTGCAGGTCTGATATCTGCAACTACAGTTTAGAGTTGCACACCAGTTATGTAAGTCCAAAGGTTCACATACACTGTGAATGTTTACATATGTGCAATTAAACCTGGCAACATGTAATGTTTGTGTAATTATATATTTTTTATTGTGCTGATGATAAGAGCACATTTTATTCATGCAAAATGTAATCCCAGCACTATAAAATATATCTATATATATACATATAATATACATATACACACACACACACACACACACACACATATACACACACACACATACACACACACACACACACATATATACACACACACACACACACACACACACACACACACACACGATATAAAAGCTAAAATAATGTGGTTGCATAAGTGTGCACACCCTTTTATAACACACAATATAAAAACTAAAAAAAATATATATTTTTTTTTGTGCTGCATAAAAAAAAAAAGTGTGTCAGCTATAAAAGTATCTGAAATAAAATAATAACACCACCACCACATAGCACTTACCTAGAACCGTGAGTGTAGCATTGGCTGAAATGCTCCCCGCACTGTTCTGGGCTGTACAGCTGTACACTCCAGTGTCCCCTACTTTTGCATTCACAATAAAGAATACATCATCTTCTGGCATAACATGCATCCGCCTCTCACGAGCTGCAGGAAAGTCCGTGCCACCGTTTTTCTGCCAAGCAATCTGAGGTGTTGGATGCCCTACTGCGGCACATTCCAGGCGAGCCGTTGATCCAGCTCGAATGGTGAGGTCTATAGGCATCTTCATAAATGAAGGAAGCACTAAAAGGAAAAAAAAAAAAAATGAATCAAACATTTCAGCCAACACTGGAACTAGATTTGCCCAACACAACATAAAACAGACACTTACTGTTCACAGTTAGTTTGGCTTTTACAGAGTAAGAGGTTCCAAAGTGATTAGAAATGACACACTGATATTTTCCTTCAATGTCAAACTCCACATCACGTAATCTCAGGATAGACGTGTACTCCATTACTTCCCCACCTTGTACCCGCAGGTGAGCATAATTTTCCATCTCAGCATCATTCAGCAGCTCATTGTCTTTCTTCCATGAGAAAGTCATCGGGGAGTCACTGCTACTGGCTGCCGTACATATAAAACTCACATTGGAGCCTCTTATTGCAGATTGCGTTTCAGGCTGGACAGTGATCTGTGGCTTTGGAAAGTCATCTGCAGGTATGGAAGAGAAAAAAAAATTAAATACAGGAAAATATATAGTTCAGCAGTACTGCATAATCTCTGGATAAGTGTACACAGTAGTATATTACATTTACGTCTAGCTAGATTTTCATTATGGGGCTCAAATGAGGGCTTATGCTCAGCACCCTGTAATAGGGTAAGATGACGTTAAAATGGACAGTGGATATTACATTTAAGCTAGATTTTCATGAAAGGGCTCTCATGTAATAGGGTAAGGTTAAAATTACAGTGGAAATTTATGAAAAAAGATATAAAATAATAAAGATATATTTTACACACATGTACATGAGAGGTAGAGGATAAAAATGTTATATCTTCATATTTTTATATTCCCCCGCCGCCCCCCCAATGCATTCTTTACCCAGTTCATTCTCTTATACCTCAGGGATATGTGGTTACTGTGGGAAAGACAATTACAAGAAGCAGTCCTACTCTCAAAATAACAAATGAGGCTTATAGATGTTTAAGTTTAGTTTCTGAAATCATGAGCAAAATGCATGCTTTCAACATTATGCATCAAATAATTTTGACCAATGATGTTCTATGCATGTTTACTTTATATTAAAAAGTTCTGAACAGAAATCAAGGAAAAAAAAAAAAAAAAAAAATACAACAACATTATACATAAAAAGGTAAGAAAAATAATTAAACAAAAAACGACCCCAACTTACCACACACAAATCCATCAACACTAACAGCAAAGATGCTTTTGCCCTTGAGACTTTGTGGATGTGCACAATTTGCCTTTACAGACTTCTGCAGTTTATTTTCCGTTAACCACTGAGGCAGCCACTTCAACTGACAGTCACATAAAAGACTCGAAGAGTTTAGATGTCTGTATGAAAAAGGAAAAAAAAAAATAAAATGACAATTCTTCCTGGGACTATAAATAGTTGGCAATTAAAGTCTTGAAAAGAGATATTTTTATTTAAAAGCAAGTGTGAATGCACACATTAACTGAAACAATACAGACTATATAGTACTGCAGCCTGCATAGTTGGGTTGCTAGGCTGAATTCCTTCAGGGACATGGAGAAAAAAAAAGTTAAGATGTGTGGGTTTCCTTCAGGTGCTCTACTTCTTCCTACAACCCACAAACTGCCAAGTTTAAAGTGGAACTTTATCCATAACTTGATAAAATAAAAAAAAGAAATGTTCTTTAGCAAGGAACATACATTCCACATTCATAAATATGCTACCAAAATTAGCGTGTGCTGCAAATTGCCTCCAGCATTGTTCCTGTGTCTTCTTGCTGAAGAAGCTGCCACTTTGATGAAGCCCAGAGCTCCTGAGCAGCAGTAAATCTTTAGGTTGTCAGCAAATACTCTACACTTTAGGCACAGTGCCAAAAAAAATAAAAAGAGCAACTGAGCATGTGCAGAGCAGGGTGAGAAAGTGGCTTTTAAACAGTATAGGCACTTATTTTTAATGTTTTACATAACTATACCAGAAAAAGGGGTCAGCCTGAAGTGATGATCTATGAGGACAATTTTCTGACTAGTGTGTGTGGAAACTTTTATGAGAAAACATAGAGGCTGCATTGCTGACCTCTCATTCTAAACAGGGTAATCCAGAGGTATGCAGATAAGGAGTTTTTAACCCAATGTGAAAGAGTGGGTGAAGTATGATCATAAACAATATATGACTGATCGCCTGGGAAAGCTTCCTCCCATTTCACACATACTGCAATAAAAGGATCCTGTCATGGCAAATATGAGAGCAGCCATTGAGGACTTTAGGTTCAGGCTTCAGGGGCTGTCCGCTATCAACTTTCCTTCTCTCTTACCTGGAACAAACATGTATTATCAGGTGATATGCACATGCTTGTTCCAGGACAATGACTCACAAAAGGCAGGTTCTATTATTTTTTGATAGATTTCCCTGAAAAAGAACTGATACATACAAGCTAGCAGAAATACAGGACGCTAATAGCAGAGTTAACCTGTCTTTTTGCTAGTGCAGACTACATAATTAAAGCAGGTGTGTGTTATTCACTTTTGTTATCCTCCAGATTATACACATAATAAGCACTAATGCTTCGACTCGAGAAACTTTCATTCTGAAAGCATGCTGCACATCAAGTAATCAAAACACTACTATTTATCAAAGATAAAAAAACAAAACAAGAACAAAAAAAAAAAAACAAAACACAAAAATCATGTTTGCATCATAGTGAAAACAAAAATAACTTACAATTGCTGAAGATTTTTCATTTGAGAAAATGCATTACTCTGCATTGACACAATTGCATTATTACTCAGATCCCTATATGAAAATAAAATACAAATTAAAATAATGGAATATAAAATAAAAATCATGGCAAACTTTAAATTTTTGTTGCTACTATGTGCACTATTCGTATCAGCTACATCAAAATCAAACTTAACAGACGTTGATATTGCTTAAGCCGGCCATAGATGATTCGAACCACCTATGGGCAGGACCAATGTACCCAATTTGATTGTTGTGTGACTTGGGTCCAACCGGCCTGTCGAATTATTAATGCAATTATTGCCAGCGCCCCCAAGTCGGGATAACACAGTAGTTCCTTGGGAAGGATTGCCCCATCAACACTAACTGTGTTGGTGGGGGGAAACTAGTGATTTTCTTTCCTGCAACCTGTGGCTGTAAGAAAGAAAATTTGCAGTGCCCATTACCTGCCATAGCACAAGGCCAACATTATAAAACTTGTGGTAAAATTAAAAGGCACAGTTTTGTGATAACTGCAGGATGCAAGCAGTTACAATCAGGTAACCAGTAATAGTTGTACAAGTAGAGAGCTTTCTGAAAAGTTGAAATAGCATAAATCAATTCCTATTTCACACAGAAAAGGTAACAAACCTTTCACCATGAGTACGTAAACCAAGCCAAAAGAAGAGATGAGTAAACTGCTCTCTCCATCTGTTCCTATAGTTAAATTTGTAGAAGTAGGACCATGCTGGGCAGTGTTCTACACCAGTTTAATGCCTCTCCATACCAGCTGCGCTTTTAGCTGTGGTCACTGCTCCAAAGCACCAGGACTGCTAGAACACCTATCACCTCCAAAACCACCACCACACATGTAGTCAGACAACCACTTCTTATATACTACAGACATGGGAATGGCAAGGACCTGTTATCTAAAAAACTAAGGAAGATGCAGAGAATAATTTCCAGTACGATTCTCTCATATGTAGAAAGTTTATTAAAAACTTACTAATTGAGATAGAATTAATCAAGGAACAATACACTGGAATTTTGCTAAACTTTGGAATGTAGCTTTAAGAATGCCTTTCTCACTGTATAATAAAAGCTACTCATTTATAGAAACCAATTACTTACAGATATTCAAGTGCATCCAACCATGAAAATGCCTTTTTTGTTATTGATCCTATTCGATTACCTTGGAGCATCCTTAAAGTAAGAGGAAAATAAAATGCTTAGGAAATACATTTTGCAACAAATAAGTGATATAAAGAGCAACGTAATTAAAGGCCAAAATTAGAAAAAAAAAAAAAATGTTATAATGCCATCATTAGTGATACATTTTTAACTTACAGCCTTTTCAGTTTTTCTAGTCCAGAAAATGCTCCATTCATATCTTCAATGCTCCAAGAAATTTCATTGTTCTTCAGATCTCTGTAAAAAGACAAGTATTATTACAAGGCAGATGAGCCCATAAAATTTTTTTCACACAGAAAGCATACTTTCTATGGGTTTTCTAAGACTATTAATACTTTCTGCCTGGATAAATTGTTAATGTTTACAAAAGTTGGGATTGCATACCCTACGGCAATGTTAACTATAGAAACCTGCAGAGAGCAGGACTTTTTGCCCTCACCCAGAGGCGGACTGACAACTCATGGGGCCCCCGGGCAATAGGGAATCATGGGGCCCCTGTGTCCTTGCCCAAACTCAAAAAAGCCTATGAAAAAGGTACCAGGGGCATCTCATGGGGCCCCCTACTGACCCCCGGCCCTCGGGCAGTGCCCGAGTTTCCAAATGGTCAGTCCACCCCTGCGGCCTCACCTGACCTGCAATTCATAACCATTAATAGCTATGATGGCTTCCATTCTCCACCCTTTCTCAGCTACTTAGCAAAATATTTTGATTTTGAGTTTTTTGCTTTAGAGAAATGGAAGCACAAAAAGACAAGTGGAAGAATTACTGAACTGGTTTCTACCCTAAGGGTCCATGTATACTAGGCTTAATGCTGCATCTACAGGAGTTGCGTTTTGCCTATAGGCAGCACGGTGGCTAAATGGTTAGCACTTCCACCTGGCAGTTGGTTTGATTTCCTCCGGGTACTCTGGTTTCTTCCCAAACTCCAAAGACATACTGGTAGGTTAATTGGATCCTGTCTAAATTGACCCTAGTATGTGTATGAATGTAAGTTAGGGACTGTAGATTGTACACCCCTTGAGGGTTAGGGACTGATGTGAATGTACTATTTTATTTTTATTTATTACATGTACTTATATAGCACCACAGCGCTTTACATATATATTATACATTTACATCAATCCCTAACCCTCAAGGGGCGTACAATCTAAGGTTCCTAACTTACATTCATACATACACATATTGGGGCCAATTTAGACAGAATCCAATTAACCTACCAGCATGTCTTTGGAGTGTGGGAGGAAACCCACGCAGGCACAGGGGGAACATGCAAACTCCAGGCAGGTGGTGCCGTGGTTGGGATTTGAACCAACGACCAACGTACTGCCAGGCGGAAGTGCTAACCATTTATCCACTGTAATATATATCGCTGTGTAAATTGATGGTGCTATACAAGTACCTGTAATTAATAAGTAAATAAATAGAAACAGCTCAGTGTGTATACTATGTGTCCATGCACATGAGTACATTTAGAGGCATATTTTAAGCTCAGCTTTTAGAGGCAGAAAAAAAAAACACTTTCTGGATTGCGTTTGAGAGTTTTCTGGCAGAAAAAAAAAGCTAAGCAGCTGTACAAATAGCTCTATAGGAGCATTATTATTTTTTTTTTCAAGCCCAGTGTGCATGGACCCTAAAAGCTTTTAAGAGATACAAGTGCTTAAACAGTGGAACAAAAAAAAAAAAAAGAGTTCATACCATGGCAACACTTCACTTGCTTCGCACATTTTACTTTCATGAGACAAGTGACCTACATGATGTATATTCTGAACAGAAATGATAGAAACAAAACACAAATGTACGTATTGGGGTTGATTTACTAAAACTAGAGTGCAGAATCTGGTGCAGTTGTGTGCAGAAACCAGATCGTTTTCTTTTTTTGTTTTGTTTTTTAACAAGCCGATTGGCTACCATGCACAGCTGCACCAGATTCTGCATTCTCCAGTCTTAGTAAATCAACGCTGTTGTGTGCCAACACATCTCGCATGCCAGGAAATTGATTAAAAAGTAACAGGTTTCCAAGATGTTAAATAAAAACAAAAAAAGGTATCAGAACATATGCAAGAGTCATAAACTATTATCCATGGTGGTTTTTAGGTGTAGTCTTATTTAAAGTGTTACTAAACCCCGGACCCTGCATTCACTATATATCTGGTCTCCCACAGTACACAGAACATGGAAGTTTAATTTTTTTAGTAAATACAAAACTGCTAAATACCTTTTCTCATCAGCAGTATAAAGCAGTCTTGTGACTTCTATCAGTGTTCAGCATAGCACTGGTTACAGCTTGTAGGAGGAGTTTTCTTTTTGCTCTAGGAGGATGCAAAACCTAACCTCTGTCTGGACAGTGCTGATTGGCCCTGTGCTGATCACATGCACTCTCCCAAGAAAGAAAAAAAAAAAACCTCTCTAGCAATACACACTAAACTGAGCATGTGCATAATGGCTACGGTTCAGTCTGTCTTATCAGGAGATAAAACATGGACATTTGAACAAGAGGAGGAGCAGAGAAGTCAGGATCAAACAGCCTTTTTACACAATGTACAGGAGTAAACCCCTTAGGTTCCACAGTGATTATAACAAGCATGCTTTACTTCATATACAGAGTGATTTTACCGTTGTGGGTTTAGTAACACTTTAATTCAACAGAATACAAGCATTAAAGAAATTGTCAAATAAATAATCTCTAGCCCTACTTAGCAGGCACAGGCCCACACTTAACCAACACAGTTAATGTAGCTTTCAGATTGTGCACATCACAACACACCAATCAGAGGCCCAAAGAAAATGAACCGATTTCATCTATATTCTCTATTTGCTCTGGGAATTATAGGGTACTCAGCCTTTCTACTACTCATGCTTATGGAGATTCAAATATCCATCATGCACAACAGGGAAGGTTTGATTTGTCATCTTGGCTACTAAGGGAGAAGATAGCCACCGCTGTCCTAAAGCACACTCATTTCTTTACACAAGCATTTAAGATTAAAAAAAATGAATAAGAATTCAAATGTCAATTGGATGAATTTTCAGCCCTACCTCACAGCATCAAATTTCCCAGAGTGGAGAAGTTTAATCATTAAAAACACTGGGGTGCAGGAGAAAAATGTACAAAGGCAAAAACTGACATCATAATTTTGATTAGATTAACTATATAAACATGAACAACAAAGGGCTTAGCTCAGTTTTTATATCAAGAGGTTTTGCTCACTCTTTTCTATACAGCAGTAGATGATTTTTTTTTCTATTCAGAATATTCAAAGCAGGATCACATGCATTAATCCCCAAATCAAATGCCACCCTGAACTACTTAAATAATCATAAGTACAAATCCCCCCCCCCCTCTAGGGCCCAAAGTAATATTACTTATTTAATCCATAGAGACATCTATTCTGCTTTTTAAATAAGCCTCCCTTGCCATGATCACTGCAAAACAAGAGGAAAATGACACTTACAGTGTGTTCAGATTGGATAATCCATGGAATGCACCATCCGCGATATTACTAATTTGGTTGTTTCCTATAAATAGTCTACCAAGCAGGCTTAATCCCATAAAACTTGACTCTTCTAATCTTGTTAGTTCATTGAAGGTAAAATCTCTGTAAAATGCAATAAAAAAAGCAACCTGTTAGTGTAACAAACTCTGTAACTTGCCCTGCTATCACTGTGCCCAGCGCATTGGAGATAAAGGCATATTTTCAGGCTTAATTGAAACAGCATGCAGTAAGTAGAGAGACTGCACAAGTCAGTCAAGAGAAATACAAAAATCGCCTTAGTAATTCTGCTATGGAAAAAAAAAAGGTCTACAAAAAACTGTGGTAAGAAATTCATGTTCTGGCATGAAATATGTACTAAAACTGGAACTAAATAAAAGCAACGTACAGCTCACTGAGTTTTTGGCAAAACTCCCAGGCATCAGGGCTGATCTGGCTGATGGCGTTCTGGCCGAGATGGAGGTGCTGTAACATAAGCAAGCCATACAACCAGCCTCTGCTAATCTCCGTTAGATTATTATGATCCAGAAACCTAAAAAAAAGGGAAAAACGCAGATGTTAGATGAACAGTCTGATGACAGAAATATATGTATAGCAGATGCATCATTTTTATGTTATTTACTACAAATCTATTGTTCTGGCAAATACAGTTTTTGTGGGAATCCTTCTATAAAATGGTGGATAATCACAGCGATCGTCTTGAAAATTTGGATCTAATACACTCCAGTTATATCAGATCATTTAAACCCTTCGAGGCATTCCAGTTACTTTGGAACGTCATGTCACAGAAGAAAGAACCTATACTAAGGCAAGTAGGCTGCTAGTGCCGATGAACTTGCTAGCTGCCTGGCAGCTTTTGGAATCCATGCTTTCAGTTACTGATACGTTTGCAATAGAGTTGGTAGAAGGAAGTTAAATCTCCTGATCTGCACACTTGTCCTAGTTCAGCATTTCACAAAGTACTAAAACAACAGATCAGAATGTTAACCAGGGAAGTTGAATTTTTAGAAAGAAGGGTCAGCAATAGCAGCCTACAGGTTCTTTCAGTTGATTCCCTTTTGTAGGTGTATGTATGTGTATATACTAGAGAATATAAAATGTATATAATTTTTTTGTACTTATTTTGAGAGTGTATAGCTTTCAAAGCTTAACAGCATAAAACAAAAACATCAAAGACTTACAAAAGTTCCATATTACTCAGTCCCCAGAAAGCTCCATCCATAAGTCGTGTGATTCCATTTCTTTGCATGTTTAGAGATTTTAGGACATCCAGACCCTGAAAAGTGAGCCCATCAACATGTCTCATTCGGTTACGCTTCAGCTCTCTGCAAGAAGATAAAGAAAACTATAATGTGGCTCAGTTGTGAGAATACAAATTAAATATGCAATGCCTGAAGGTCAGAAATAAAACAGTGCCCAATAACATTTTTTGCTAAAAGCCTGTTACAATCAAGCTGATCATACAGAATGATATTTGTTTAAAGCAATACACTTTTGGTTTAATACTTACAGGTGTTGTAAGTTAGACAACTTAAACATCTTTGGTGGAATGTAGCCAATTCGGTTCTTGTTGAGCTTCAATACTTGTAAAGTAGCAGACAAGTTGTCAAATGCACCTGGTTCCATAGATGTTATAAGGTTTTTATTGATGTAACTGCAAAAAATAAATAAAATCAATTAAAAATGACAGCTACTCATTTGCAGATAATGAAAAACTATTTTTTTTGTCAGTAACTTACATAAAATGGTTGCTACAGCCAGTCTCCCACATTGAAATGGCTATAAAGATTCTTATTTTTTTCTAAATAAGAAACATATTATACTTACCTGCTCTGTGGAATGGTAGTGCACAATGCAGCCCCAAACCTCATCTTCTGGGTACCCCCCGTTGGAGCTGTCCACTCATCCTTTTCGGAGTCTGCCCTATAGCAAGATGATTGCTATAGGGGCAGATGTGGGCTTGCTCCTGACCCAGGCTGCGTGTGTCCATAGACCCACACAGCACAGCTTGGCCCTGACCCATCCACCTCCCCCCCTTTCCCCGCTGCCTTCTAACAGGATTTGAATGACAGCAGCAGAAGTCAATGGCTCCCGCTGCAGCCTGTGTCCTATGAGAAGAGAAAGGGAGGAGAGCGCAGCTAGGTAATTTTTTATCTCAAAGTGGAGTTCCACTCACCCTGTCAAAAAATAAAGTCAGCAGCTACAAAAACTGAAGCTGCTGACTTTTAAAAATAAGCCACTTACCTGTCCCTCGGTGTGTCTCCCGCAGCCTGTTTCACCGGCTGTCCTGTATTCCAGGAGGCTGGCATGTTCAGTGTGGGCACCTGGCTATGATAGCTTGCGGCTTCACAGCTGGGTATCCACTGCACATACGCGAGCAGCGCTGCGCTTCATGAATGGTCCTGCAGTCTTCTGGGACCTGTCACGTGTCCCAAAAGACTATAGGGAGAGAGGGAGAACACTTTCCGCTCACTTTAGGCGATCGGACCGGAAGTGGGAGCGGGTACCTGTCAAATTCGGGTACCCGCTCCACCCTGACCCCCAAAAGGTGCCAATCCTTAATGGGGAGCAGTCCTTAAAGTGGAACTTCCCCTTTTTGGTTGGAGCTCCACTTTAATGCAAGGAATTCATTAAAAAAAAAGGTAAAAATGTCCTGCCTTCAGTACCCCTTTAATTACTGACCTAGAGAATTGTTATCTGAACACTCGACTAAAAGTAAGTGGGACAGCAGTTATGTCACTCAATAAGATTTAAGCCATTTTCAGATTTGGCCTAGAAAAACCAAAAAGGGCAAAAAAAAAAAAAAAAAAAAAAGAGCCAAAAACACACACACCAAACAAAAACAGCCTTTTTTTTTTTAAATAGGCACAACGAAACCTACTTGTCAAGTTGCAACAGCTAAACACTCATGAGGCTTGAAAGACAAAAATCTGAACTTTATAGACAGTCCCTGCTTCATGCGGTATAAAATGAAGTGCCTCTGAACAATAAAACATTTTAAAAAAAATGTATATTACACTATAAGCATAAAGGTTTACATATAAAATTGCTATATTACAAAACAGACAGTAAAACAAGCCACTTACAGGTATTTAAGTCTCAGCACAGGAAACGACGGTGCTTTAAGTTCAGTAATAAGATTATTACTCAAATCTAAGGTTTCCAGCGACTGGTAAGGTTCCAGATGCTCTGGTAAAATTACATGAATCTTATTGTTTGTTCTGGGACAGGGAGGAAAAAAAACAACAAAGCACTGTAATCACACCAGTTGTATACCAAGCAAAGCAGAACTCTACCAATACACAAGTTTCAAAACAGAAAAGAATTATTAAAATAAACAAAGTTATAAAACTGGCTGAAAGAAAAAATATTTGATGGTTTGCTCCAAAACATTACACATACAGAACCACACACAAAAAAAAAAAAAAACTTTAATGATACAGATGTAGCTTCTCGAAAAAATAATGTGGAAAAGCAGCAAAGCAGAATGCTGGTTTATTAACAAGGTAATTACAGACAAGGTGTTAAAGCCATAAATTACTGCAGTGATAAACTTTCCCTTGCAGCATTGCTTGTTACAGCAGGGGCCAGCAATTTCCTGAACTGCACACCCTCTCAATTGCAGCCTGAAAGTGTTCGCTTATAATCCAGCCTGCTGCACAGTGATGCCTTTGTACACTAGATTTTTTTTTTTTTTTTAACACAACACAGATATTTCTTATAGCTGTAGGCATAATGGATTCTGTATCACAAAACATCAGAATGATTTAACATGCCCCAATGTTATCATAATTCTAGTTTTAACCAGAAAATAGCATTCTCTTTAGCATGTTTTTTTTTATATTCACATTATGATGCTAGAGGCAGATTTATATATATTTATGCTGTAAAAATTGAAAACAGAAAGGCCAATCATTCAAAAGACATTGATTTAAACCAAATAACTTTGTATATAGGAGTATAAAAAACAAAAAACAGATGATTTTTATCCTAATGAACTATTGTGCACCTCCCACTTCTGCCCAACAATTCGTCCTCCGTGCCACAGAAATCACTAGTGATGTAAATTAAATGAGTAGTTGCCACTTTAATAATTATTAGCAAAAACACCACTGTGTTTATTTTTTGATAGACTAAAAAAAAAAAAAAAAAAAAAAGTTTTAGTTTTGGTTATAAAATTTTGTAAATAAGCAATTTTTCTCCTTCACTGATGTGCACTAATGAGGCTGCAGTGATAGGCACTGATAGGCTGCACTAATAAGCATTGACAGGCATCACTGATGGGCACTGATATGTGGCATTGATGTGCACTGGTAGGTACTGATATGGCATTTATGTGCACTGATATGTGGCATTGATGGGCACTGACAGGTGGCATTGATGGGCACTGATGGGCACTGGTATGTGGCATTGATGGACACTGATGGGCACTGGTATGTGGCATTGATGGGCACTGACAGGTGGCATTGATGGGTCTACACTGATCATCAGTGCCCTGATGATCAGTGTAGATGTCCCCTCTGAGGAATGCTGCTAACCGGCTCTCCTCTCCTCAAGCGCTGTCAGCGTGAGGAGAGGACTGCCAATAATCGGCATTTTCTTGTTTACATACAATCAGCTGTGATTGGACACAGCTGATCACATGACAGAGCGGACATGATCAGCTCTTTACTCTGATCGGTTATCCGCTGTGTCCCAGGGACACAGCACACCACCAAACCATTGCACCGCATACCCCCGGGGGCATGCATGTGCAGTTAGAATAGGAGGATGTTATATGATGTCCTCCCAGAATGACAGAATCCCCCCCCCCCCTACCATTTGTGAAACATAGAATATTACTGGATCAATAGACCAGGGTTGCAGTACTAGATTCCGGTTTGTCCTGAGACAAAACAATTTAGTTTTTTATTTTTAATGGCTCTATGTCTCCCACAGGCCTTCACATCCTAGGGCCTACAGCACTAAAGTAAAATTGTAGCAATAAAAGTCCTGTGACTAAAAAAAATAAAAATCAGTAACAAACATTTTTTTCATCAGTTCAGTCACGTTTTTTTTCACCCCCCCCCCCCCCAAAGAAAAAAAAAAACAGATCAGTTCACATCCACTTTTCGTTAGTTCACAGCCATTTTTTTTACATCCTTTACCAATGCAAAAACGGACAAAAAAAAACAAAAAACAAAAAAAAAAAAAACAGATGTCAAGAGATGCAAACAGGTGATCATCCCTTTACATCCACTAGTCCATAGAAATACATGGGTGTCCGTTTTTCATCTGTAAGTGGACAGATGAAAAACAGACATACGGAACACCCATGTGAAAGAGCCCTGAGTGTGTGAAAAGCAATGTCCAAATCTGAAGTGAACACACAATCCCCAAATGAAGGTCTACAGAGTAATTTAGCTGCACTATCAGACATAGTAAATTAGTACTTCTAAACCAACAGTTTTTATACCTGCTGCCAAGGCCAACTTTCATTTTTTGTCTCCCTTAAGTTTGGTAGCCTTTAGCATATCTAAAGTTTATTAAAATAATTGCACTTACAAAGACAGAAGTGTTATATTTGCAGATAATGGTCCTAAATTGGGTATAGTCTTCAGGTCATTTCTATTCAGTCTCCTGTTAAGACAGGTAATACAGAAAAGAAAAAAAAATCAAGAAAAATTACATTTTTCAAGCCTACACATAATCAACAACTTAAGAACTCAAATAGAATGAACTTACAATTCACGAAGGTTATAAAGATGAATCATTGAAGAAACTTTGATTGAGGAAAGTTTATTGTGGCTTAAATCACTGTAAAAAAAGAAATAGAAAAATACATTAGTATAAAAAAAAAGACAAAATTTGCTTTAGTACTACCATTGCAACTCTGAAGTGGAAATGGAAGCACCTACAGTACATTTAAACCACGTGTAAGACAGTGTTCCTGTACAGAATGGTCTCTGAAGCCCAAGTCACATGAAGCTGAAATAACTACTTGTTTGAAGTTGTTGTAAAATACATCATGCAACACATGATAACTTGCTTAGTCATCTTAAAAAAAGTAGCTCTTGCCATACAAAAGTACATGTCTTCAGTACCTAAGCAATGGCCACAAAAAAATATTAGTGGAAACTGGGTGAGATTCTGCATTATGGCAAATTCTAAAGGATACTGCCAATTTCTGAACACAAAAAGAAGAATGTGCGCCAAAACTCCATGTTGATCTAGCTAAAAAGTACCACACAACCACACACAAAGCAAAGCAATACGAATTATCCAACAACATTGTGGGTGGCCAATTTATGATTACGCAAGGATACCATTGTTGGTTTCTTATTAGCAAACACACACACATAACACACACCTAAAGCTTTATTGTTCAAGAAGAGAGACATTATACCTTTAAGTAATGTTCAAACTGTGCCTTACAGTCAAACCATTAGATGAGAACCAACTATATTTAAAGTTCCATAATATTTAAAAAAGATGGACTATTAGTAAACCATGTGGCTACTGAAAATTTTCATTTACCCCAAAACAGAATAGACAGTCTTTTGGCTGAAAAGTTAGTCACATCATCACTAATTATATTTGGTGCCGATGCCAACCGGTTGAATGAAATAATGAATTAATAATGACCCGACTTCCTCCTCCACACACTCAATGTGGATATCCTTCCCAGAGTCATTGAATTCTGACAGCGGGGAGCCTTCCTCACAGTCAGAATACACTGATCAGTTCTGTCAGCTGTAACCGGTGGTGCTGATTGATCTGGAAAAGGCGGACATGCTGTTTGTACAGAAATTGATCAGCAGATCAACTTCTGTACAACATAGCCTGCCCATACATGAATCGAAATCCATCCGGAAAAATTTTTGTGATACCCAAACTTCTCTTTTAAAGAGGACGTTATATTCTCATTACTCATTAGAAGTTTCCCTTTGGCCCAGGCCCAAAACTGTTCACATAAGGCCATTTATCTTGACGGAGAAGTACACAATATTTTACTTCAAGAGTAAATCATGTTACTCTTTAAAAATACTTTCATAGTCTTATTTAGCCATTTGGGAGTCCCAAATTACAGAATATCAAAGTTTTTCCATGGATCCCCAATAATCGGTGGGTCATGATCAATAATATGGAGATATTGTTCATACAGCCCCGAATTACAAATGCAACGCATATATTTAACATAATAAAATACTTTCAATTAAGCAGCAATAATGTATTTTTTTTATTTTGTTTTACTTTATAGAAATCTGGGAAACCTATGACTACCTTTTTGCTCCTTGCTCAAACTAGCATGTCATGTTCGGACAGCAAACAGTTAAAGTTGAAATCTGCAGAGGCAAATTAAAAAGGAAGGTTTTGCTCCGATCACATTACATCACAGTATGGATGTTTAAAAGCAACTGGAATTTCTTAGTCTTACTCGCCTTGCTTCTTCCACTGTATATAGCACTACATGCCGGCAATTAATGAAAACCAGATGAAGCTGGAGACAGTCGGGACCATGATTTGGAATTTATTAACATCTGACCCACGTATAGGCGGAAAGCTGCTGACTTCACGTTTTCTAATGAATAAACATGCAAATCAGAGGAGTAGCACACAACTCCTTTCTCTATACCTGAGGCTTTCCACCTACATGGCTGCATACGGTTCATGGAAATTACAAAAATTCTTTTATTATGCATCACAAGTAGAAACTTGTACAAAAGACTCACTTTAGGAACCTCACACCACCTGAAAAATAAAAATGGAGCAGGGTAAGCGAGTGAGTGTACTGAATAAATACACTGGAGAGCAGAAAATCTTTTCTGAATGCTGAACATTTAAAAAAAAAAAAAAAAAAAAAAAATAAATTTTTTTTTTTTTAACTTAAAGTCTTGCTTATGTTTGCCAAATCTCCTCCTGTCCCAGCCCATAAAGAAGTGAGAAAATCTGGTCTGGGGGAATTAAGGCACGCTCACAAAAGTGCGGGACTTTGAAACTATTAAAATACTGCATGATCAACCACAGTGGAGCCAGACACTTTCACTCAAAGCTCAAGCACCTATCCATCTGGATTCCATCACTGCAGCCACAAGCGTAACAACTTCCATTATGCATCAAACAGACTCTGGTATTTTAACACTGAAAATATGTACTGCTTTACAATTTCACATTAATCAGGCATACACAAAAGAGATCACTAGAAAGGGTTTACAGCCGTGCCTAATTGGCGAGCTAAAATAAACGTTTGCCATTGACACCAAGAAAGAAAAAAAAAAAAAACCTCTAAACCTCTATGCACCAAAAATCTTTAATTAAGCATAGGAGGAAAAAAAAAAAGAAAAAAAATATATGCTGTTCACAATGCACCTGGATCTGTAAAAGTCATTATTTAAAGTGAGACGCCTACACCGGTGGTCTAGCTAGCACACATGTTTTTGTAACTTTAACTTTTACGCCATATATCTCCAAATAAACCTGCAGCTGTAACCACAATCTGACAACTATAAATGCAATTGGAATGGCTAGGCAAAAGGAAAAATATTTTGCAGAAAAAAGGAGCTGAAAAAAAAGAAAAGAAAAAGTGCTTTAAACAGATTGGATTTTCAGATTTTTTCACCGCTGTGTTACTATTAAAGTTTAGCTATATTTGCCATGTATAGATTAAAATTGCACCACTTAGAAAACATTTAAAAATGTCCATATATAACAATCTTGAGAAATACTAAATTGAAGCATTTGAACTGTATAACCGGCCAAAGAACCTGCAATTCTGTTTAGCTGGCGTAGTGATCCAGGGCACCCCTGCCAGACACCACATCAAGGACCTGGACCTCCCAATGAGACTACAGTCTAGCAAAAAACCTGGTATTAGGCCAGCTGTGACTTAGAACAAGAATATCATCCCTGGGCTTTCCCTTCATGAAGGCTTGTGTATAGGTTGCACCATGCAAAACTCTGAAAGAGCCCTGGTTAGCATAGAGCACTGCCCATCGTGTGCTCAGTCTCACCATAGGGTCACACCTAAGCATTTTTGCTTAAACACATGCTTAAAAACAGTACATTTAACATGATTTCCTATGGGACAGGTTCACATCTCTGCGTTTTCACCTGGTGCGTTTTTTGGAAAGGGTCAGGGACTTTTTGGTTCTATAGACTTCAATGGGAATGCTGTAGAAAAGCATGTATTGCGTATTTGATGCATTTTAAATCTGCCTAGCAACAAGAAAACATTTTAAAAAATGAACACCCCAACGGCAAAACGCATCAAAACCGTGGCAAAAACGCAAGTGTAAACGCAATGCAGAAACACATCAAGCAAAACCTGCATAGGTGAGAACCTAGGGTTAGTGTCAGAAGGACAACAAGATCAAGATATAGTCAGATACTCATGCTTTTTCTTTAGGAGGTGGTTAAATGTACTACATATAGCAGCAGTATAGCTAGACTAGATTATCTCCACAAATTTAAACTCCCATTTGTACGTTGAGGCCACACACATGTGTTTTCACAATGCATGTCAACACACCTGCTTTATGTGAATAGCATCCCAATGCACAGTCTTTGCAGACAGTCTGCGTTTGGGGACTCGTCTCTGCCACGCATGCGCCACCTTACGCAAGTGGTTGCATATACTTGCATACAGCCGCCTACAACCAAAGTTCATGGACCTCCTGGCCACCAAAATATGCCAGTTTGTTTACGCTGTAAGGAGTAATGCGCCTATGTGCATGACACCTAACAAAACGCTATAATGTGTGTTAATGCACTTTAATGGACTCCTTTAGTGTAAACAGGCACAAATGTTCTATAATTCAGTAAGGACCCTAAAATTTATCAAAATGAAACCTGTTTTGAAGATGTACAGGCTGCAATTTCTGACCTCCTAGCCAAAACTTCTGTTGCCCATCACACGGATTTATTGGCTTCAGCAATTTCTGAGTCACTGAATTGAACAAGTAGCAGCCAACAAAGTCACAGCTGGTTCATGCATGTTCCAGGGAAGTACTGAAGATAGAGGATTAATATGGCACAAATATAATTAATTTTCAGGAGAAGATTAGCAATGGTGGCCTAGATATTTCTCCAAAGCTCCAGGGAAAGAGGGAACCTGAAGGACAAGTGTACTTCAATACACCATGTATAAGGGTAGCCTTAGCCACTTTAAAAGGCATGCAAAAGTACTGCCCAGGGGCGGACTGACAACTCATGGGGGCCCCCGGGCAATAGGGGATCATGGGGCCCCTGTGTCCTTGCCCAAACTCAAAAAAGCCTATGAAAAAAAGGTACCAGGGGCATCTCATGGGGCCCCTACTGACCCCGGGCCCTCGGGCAGTGCCCGAGTTTCCAAATGGTCAATCCGCCCCTGGTACTGCCCTTCATCAATGTTCTGGAAGATATTTCAGCACTGCCACCTAGAAAGTCAATTCATTCTAAAATATAAATGTAAACTTATCACAAACCTTGGCCATTAAAACTGAACATTTTATATACAATGAAAAGAGGAATTAAATGTATGAGTATTTTATACATAGTTACATGGTCCAGCTAGGACCAATATAACTATGTATATGACTTACCTGGTCAATGCCCCAAGAAACTGGAAATCACAGAAGTAGAAACCGCTACTCCAGTCATCCCCACTTGCTTTCGGGTCCTGTGATGAGCGGCCGGCCTGATGAATTCTGAACACAGGAGGTCGACTGATCGTCACGGACACCATTCAAAGAAGGCTTTGCATATTCTGAATGAAGGCAAAGCATTCTCTGATTGAACAAGGTGAATAGGCATAGGCAGGGAGGTGGCATCGGCCAGAT